AAACAAAATCATCACTATCAAATCTAGTAGGAGGTCTGATATGCCTCATTTCCCTATCTCTTGTGAGTTAATACTCATCAGTAGAGAGAGCAGCAAAATCAGATCCTTCAATCTGATCAATTTCAATTTCGGGTTCAATATCAGTTTCATCTACTAGAGGTACATGATTAGCAGGTTCAATTCGAGGAGGCTCCACCTCAATTTGAACTTCTTTATCAATCAAAACATTATCTTTTCCTTCTAAGCATGGCGTTAAAGACTCATTGAAAACAACATCATTTTTAACAATGACTCTGTACCTCTTTTTAACCCACAACATGTAGCCTTTAACATGTTCATTATAACCTAAGAAAACACATTTAAGAGATCTAGATTCTAGTTTTTCAATATTTTGATGAGCATACGCAGTACAACCAAAAACCTTTAAATGAGACTAATTCACAAAGCTATCAAACCATACAGATTCAGGAACATTAAAATTTAAAGCTTTAGTATGACTTCTATTAATAAGATATGCAGTTGTTTCACCCCAAAACAATTTTGGCAAACCAGAACTTAGTAACATACATCTAACTTTATTTAATAGTCATATTCATTCTTTCGGCTATTCCGTTTTGTTGAGGAGTATAAGTTACTGTTTTGTGTCTCAAAATACCATTTTCTTTACAGAAATTGTTGAGTTCATGTTGCAAAATTCCAAACAATTGTCAGTCCTCAAAATCTTTATCTTGTGTTCAGTTTGGTTTTCAATTTGGGTTTTTAGTTCTTATAAGCTGAAAAAGTTTCATCTTTAGATTTTAATAAGAAGATCCAATTTTATTTTTTTTAATAATCATCAGTGATTAGCAAAAATACTTAAAACTAGATAAAATACACACAGTAGCAGGACCCCACAAATCAGCATGTAAATATTCCAATATTTGTTTGAATTTATGAATTCCAGTTGGAAAAGGTAGTTTGACTTGTTTTCCTATAATACATTGTTCACAAGAACCAAAATCACCTAGATTTTGTTTTCCAAAAACTCATTTTGATTGTAAAAATTTTAAAGTCTTTTTGCCAATGTGACCAAATCTATCATACCATAAT